GTGCATCTCAGGGGCAGGTCCATGAAGAGGGAATTGCAGTAATCCAAGCGGGAAGTAACCAGGGCATGAGTGACAGTGCAAAGGTCATCTCGGTCCAGGAAAGGGCGCAACTGGCGCACCAGGCGAACCTGTGCGAAGGCCCCCCTGGTCACGGCCGTCAGGTGGTCTTCTAGGGACAGCCGAGCATCCAGGAGGACACCCAAGTTGCGAGCCCTATCAACGGGGGCAAGTTTTCCCCACCCATCAAAAGTGATGGGGTCTCTGAAACCCGAGATGCCAACATCCACAGCCACTCAGTCTTGGAGGCGTTGAGTCTGAATCTGTTTCTACCCATCCAGGCCCACACCGCCTCCAGGCAATGGGACATTACGGAAAGGGCATCTCTGGAGTGGTCTAGGGTGGAGATGTATAACTGGGTATCATCAGCATATTGATGATATCTCACCCTGAAGCCACGAATGATCTCACCCAGCGGCTTCATATAGATGTTAAAGAGCAGGTGGGAGAGAACTGACCCCTGAGGCACCCCACAATTTAGGGGCCTCGGGGTGGACCTCTGCCCCCCCCACCCATACAAACTGCAAGCGACCTGAGAAGTAGGAGGAGAACCACTGTAAAACAGTGCCTCCCACCCCCAACCCCACAAGTCGCTGCAGTAGGATACCATGGTCGATGGTATCAAAAGCCGCTGAGAGGTCAAGTAGGACCAGGATGGAGGAACAACCCCCATCCCGAGCCCGCCAGAGATCATTCACCAGAGCGACCAATGCCGTTTCCATGCTGTGCCCGTGTCAGAAGCCCGATTGGTACGGGTCAAGGTATTCCGTTTCCTCCAGGAACTGTGGGAGGTGTTGCGCCACCACAGTCTCAACAACCTTCGCAATGAAGTGAAGGTTGGAGATGGGACGATAGTTATTAAGTGAGTCTGGATCCAGGGAAGGCTTTTTGAGGAGAGGTCGAACCACCACCTCCTTCAATGAAGCGTTGACAATTGCCTGGATCCAGTCTCTAGTCACCCCCCTGGCAGCCTAAACCAACCAGGAGGGACAAGGATCCAATAAGCAAGTGGAGGAACCAAGTTTACCCATAATTCTGTCCACTTCCTTGACAGAAACAGGGTCAAACTCAACCCAGATATTACTCTCAAGACCTACCCCAGTCTCCCCATTGGATTCTGCCCAGTCAGAGTCCAATCTGATCCTGAATGTGCCTAAATTTTATCCAATATTAGTATTAAGCTGACAAAACTATTTGCTTGCTTGTTAAATTTATATGCTGCCCATACTCCCCCCCCCCCAATTTTTGGAGTTAAAATATTTATACTTTTCCAGTCCTTTAGCATTGAACTTGTCCTTCATTATTTCTCCAAAATGGCATTCACAAACTTCTTCAGAAATTTTGCAGTAATTGGTTTGGTTCTAAGAAAGTTGTACAAGGGACACTATCTGACCTACTTATATGGTGGGACTCTTAAATTATTTAACTTTAAAAATGTGTGGACAAGAAACTTACAGGTTTTCAGCTTATCTCATGCTTCTTTTGACGTTTATTTGATGAAACCAAGGAGTGATGATTGGATTGATCCAGGGTGTAGAGGATACATCTCTCCATAAAGTGTCACTGAGTTTAGAGAAACTGTAGAGTCTACTCCTGAAGCCCCTCTCTGGATTGAAAGATTTATGATAACTATCCCCCAATAATGAACATCCTTTGATGAAAGACTGGGAAGTAAAGAGAGAAATGTCCTTGCAGCAGCATACATTATTGGAAGAAATAGAATATTTTCATCTGTTTTAGTCTGAGTTTAGCCCTAATAGGACTGAATCAGCTTTGGTTTCTTTGGTGGAACAATGGCTGATGACTTCTTTCTACCAGTCCATGATAGAAAGTGTCCTCACATACTATATAACAGTATGGTACACTGGTTTGACAGCCATGAACAGGAAGGCACTACAGAGAGTGATTAACTTGGCACAAGAAATCATTGGTTGCCCCCTAACACCACTGGATGACATCACCAGGTCTCGCTGTTTCAGCAAAGTAAGGAAGATACTTAGGGATGATTCATACCCTGGCCTGTGTCTCTTTTCACTTTTACCATTGGGCAGAAGACACAGAAATATAGCTAGTCAAACAAACAGGTTTAAAAACAGCTTTTACCCATGAGCTGTTAGACTCCTAAACATAATATAGCACCACAAACAGATTAATATGACGAATTTCACTGGTGCCAGTGTAGTATGTAATATGTATATACCATGATACAAGATCATACACCAGTAATATACATGTCGCACAGAATATGCCATACATATGGAAATATATGACTTAAGTTTTTTCCCCTAACCACTTGTATAAGGATTATTCTTTATATTATTCATATTGTCTTGTATTCTTGAATGGACTGCACCAGTAGAGGCTAAACCAATTTCATTGTACACATGATGTACAATGAAAATAAAGGCTTTGAACTTGAACTTTGAACTTTGGTCACTTTGATGTGTGCAGAAACATTCAGAGGAAATACACCTTTGTTGATTTCCCAGGGGCTTTTTATACTCAGTGACTTGGTATCCTTCTGAATTATCTCCATGATAGAGAGTTGGAGATATGCTTTATGGTAGTTCAAGTGTCTACCTACAGGGAATTAGTTTCAAGGATAATTGGGTGACTATGCCATGCTGGCAGTTATTTGTGGGGTTCCCCAAGGCATTTTGTTTCAAATATTCTTATCTATATGAAACCACTAAGGATGATCTTCAGGAATTTTCAATCAAAGGGACATCAGTATGTGCATGACACCCAATTTTTAAACAACTTCATGATGTCTGAATCAAGAGATGTGATGCATGTCCCAAATAGATGCCTAGTTGCAGTTATGAGTTAGATGAGGGCTAATACATTGAGCTGAAGCTGTGGGAATAACATTGGGTGCTAGAATTTACATAGCAAGAATGCTGAAAACACATAACTAAGGATTGATGAAATGAGAACCTCTGGTTCCAGATTCGAGGTAATTTTTACATAAACATCCACCCAAGGTCACTAAGCAAACTGCCAAGTATGTGTTAATTAAAAGGATATGTAGAGTAAGCCTAGTGTTTAAACTTTTTGAGTTTCTTTAACTGCCCATTCATACTCTCCATGGCTGGCTTTTATGCTAGGGACTAATCACACAGTGCAGTGCTCTTCTACAACTCACTGTTGACAATCAGCAGCCACTACAATTCTGATTTCTTAATACTTTTTTGACTATTTTTGAGAATGAACTGGCTACAGAAGCACACTCTGTTTATTCTTTGACCCCTTTGATTCCCCACTATGCAAGTCTTAATGCCCTCTACCACAACTATCACACTCGGCAGCAAGTACTTTCCTCCATCTCTGCCAAATATATGGACGATGCTGTTGAAATGATACAAGAGGGAACCATAAATGCTACACCCCCAGTTTGTTTTTCAGTTACATAATCAAATATAATGCTTATCATCAATGCTTATGCCCAAAATCTCACAAAACACCATTATTAAATGTCAAATGCAAGAGAAATATGTCAACAAGAACTTTCTCTATTTTTTTGTCAAGAAGGAGGCATTCTTGACCCTCCAGACAAATAGCCCCCAGCCAATCGGATGGCAGGCAGAAGCAATAGTGCTGCAGGGGCAGCATGTGATTACTGATGGGCGATTGCAGGGGCTGGGGGGGGGCAGTGTGTGATGCAAGATTTTTTTTAAAAAAGTACTGCAGCTGCTCTGCAAGTTTTGGGCCCTTGGAGAGTGCCTTGGGGAGGGGGGGCAGGAAGGGAGGGAGGGGTGCTTCAAGGGGACTTCACAAAGACAGGTTGGCTCGCAACTCAGCTCCAATGAAAGGGGAGGAGGAGCAAGGTAGGCATGGCTTCTGGCGTTGCAGGGGGGCAGCTGGGGGGGCACAGCAGGCAAACAGCAAGGCCAGCACGGCTTCTCCAATTGCAGGGTGTGGGTGTGGGTGGGGGGTGGGGGAACTCATGCTAATGGCAAGTCCTGGCATTGCTGGGGGGCGGTTTATGGCAGGCTCTTACCCTTACCCTTGGTGTTACTTCCTTATTGCAAAGGCATGCCAATTTATTGTTAAAGTGCAGCAGCATTAATTGAATAAATGCTGAGTATATACTGGTTGAAGGAGTAATTACAGTGGTGTTTAAAAGTTTGTATTCCTTTTGAATTTTCAATATTTTTTCATAAATATGACCTAAAATGTGATCTGTTCTCCACACAAATCCTAAAGCTAAAGAGAACCAATTTAAACATATGAGTCATAGAGATTAGCACATTCTGTTTCTTCTGCCATGATTCTCACTGCCTTGATTCGATTTTTCTTAATTCTGCCCATTCAAGTGGTTCCTACTCATAAAATAAGAGAGGATTTTTCTCCCTCTTTCTACCATTCACAGTTCAGGTTCCCCTTTTATGTCATCTCCATCTCCTACAAATTTTCCTCTTTACATTTTTTTCCTGTTCTTACTAATTCAGCTACCTTGGTCTTTACTACTTCTGTAGCTTAAATAGGTAGAGTTGCCTCTCTTTCTATCCCTTTCCAGTCCAGTTCCTGCCCTTATGAACATTTCTGTCCTGTATAAGGGAAAGGACTGTTGCTGTTTCTTCTTGCCTGTTTCATTGGCCCCTTCTCACTTCACCTCTCTTCTGTCCCCATGCATTGCATCCATCTTAATACATCGCAATATTTCTCATTTATTTATTTATTTTTAATAAACCTTTTATGTATAGATTGTAACATTTAAGTAAAGGGATTTTCTGATTTTTTTATATACTCACAATAAAGATTATAAAATTATTCACTTTACATGGAAATATTTTTTTTATCAATGAATTACTTAGAATGTATGTACTAGATGCTTTCAAATGTAGTTATACTTTATATTCTCAGATGTTACTAAAACCAGTTTTCTTCCCTAAAACATTCTGAAGAATATTGATTAAAAGTAACAATACTTTGCTTTCTAGGTACTCTGGCATCTTGATATTTTTCGACGCAGTTTTCGACAACTTACAACACACAAATGCATGGGAGATTCCTGTATATTTTGTGCCCTCAAAGTAAGTGATAGAATGAATTCAATGGGAGTCAACAAATATATATCTATGTAACTATTAGAAGTATCTATATCTATAAAAAGAGTATTACTTTCATTACAAAAATACATTGATGTTATATTGAGTTATAATTTTGTATTCATATGTATATTGTTTGTGCAGCATTTCCACTAGATTTGATGTCCGTTCCTCCAAGCATGTCAAGGGATTTTAGAAGGTTGGCATTCACTGGTGTTTTCCCCTCCCCAAACATTAGCAAAAGCCGGAGCCTTTGGGGAGGGAAAACCATCAAGCTAACAACGTCCTTCTGAAAGGCTCAAAAGGATGGCTTTCACTAGCATTTTCATCAGATTTGAGATGTGTTTCTCCAACACACCTCCCTCCATTGATTTTCTGGGGATGCTGGCAGAGAAGATTGCAAATGGTGATCACATTATTGTGGGGCAGTTGTCACCAGCAGTGAAATCCACTTACCTTCACTACCGGTTCGGGAACGGGAGCGTGCATGTGCTATGCACTCGTGCGTCTTTTTGCGCATGCGCAGAGCCTTCTGCACATATGCAGAGGGTAAAAAACGGGATGTAATGGCATCCTGGGGGGGGTGAGCAGAGCCTCCCACTGCCGGCGCTACCAGTTCATGTGAGCTGAATCGATCCGGCCGGATTTTCCCACTGGTTGTCACAGGTTGTAATTGTGAAATAGGTTGCCAAGTACCTGAAATTCAACCACATGACCATAGGATGAGACCATTTACAACAGCCAAAGGTGCCTTACAGGCTGCACAGCACCTGCTCCAACACTGTCATAAATGTGAATGCTCATAAAACAACCAGTTAAAACTCAAGGAGAGGTACCAAAGAAATGTTCTCTAGAACATCCTTTATTAGAAAAGACAGGAGTATTTCAAGTTTTTTTATTTAGAAAATGATAGGTCATGGTAGGGGTAAATAAAATTCTGCTTGGGGAGAAAATATTTCAACAAAACTAAAATGGGAGCGTATTAAGATAGGCTGCCTTCTACGTGTAAGTAGTAGTGTTAGTAGTAGTCAGCTTTGTTTATTTGGAAAAGATAATGGGGAATAAGGTTATTTATGACTTATAATGACTGTACATAAACTTCAGAATTAGAAAAAAATTATCTAAACATAATTTGTTGGGAAACATCAGTGGTGGGTTGCTACTGATTCGGCCCAGTTCTACCGAATAGGTAGTAACTTTAGGAACTAGTTCTCTGAACCGGTAGTAACAGCAGCCAGGCCACATCCCTGAACCAGTCCCCCAGTTGCTGCTTGCTCGCCCACCCGATGCGTCCGTCGTATGGTAAGCTGACCGAAGCAAAGAAGCCTCTTAGCTGCCTGGCCGCAGGGTGCTGAAAAGTCCTTCAGCTGGTGAGAAGAAAGCTGCGCATGCGCGAAGATAGCAGCGACCGAAGGTCTTTCCGGCACTGTACGCCAGTGGCTGGGTGGAAAAGAAGCCTCTTGGCTTCCAAGTTCAGCAGCAGGCTCAGTCCCTTCACTGGGTCGCTTTTCTCTGCGCCCAAGAAAGATCAAAAGGTGCAGAGCAGCCTTTAATGAGAAAGTCACCTAGATGAGGTAAAAGAAAACACCACTGAGGGAAGGAGCCCCCCCAAAGCTGCCGCTGTTGCAGCCGCCCCCCCCTCCCCACAGCTTGGAGCTCCAAGCGGAAGAAGTCGTCGGCTGTTGCGAAGAAGCGGCAGCTCTGGGTGTACCACGCCCGCTTCTTTCTCTTTGAGAGCCACTTTGCAAACAAGGTGCAAAGCAGCTCTCAAAGAGAACAAAGCGGGCTTGGCGCACCCAGAGCTGCTGCTTCTTCGCAACAGCGAGAGCGGAAGAGTTCACCCAGGAGCAACACCAGTGAGGAAGGCGGCTGGGTCAGAGGGAGGCGTAGCCCAAGCTCTCTGGGACAGGTAAACAAGTGTGGGGAGGCAAAAGGGAGCAGACTCGGCCCCCCACGTGTTGCACCCCCTCCCAGCCTTCGCCCACGCCTCCGTGCCACCAGCATCTCCTAAAGCTGCTGCCGTTGGAGCCGCGACGGACTGGGGAAGCCCGGTAGCAGCCATGAGCCGTGCTTTCCTCTAAGCACTGTGGGCGGCAGAGGGAAACAGGTGCTTCTCCCTGCACAGAGCTTTCCGGATGAGACTTGGAGGAAAGCGCAGCTCATGGCTGCTAAATTTCACTTTGCTGCACCAAACGCTTTCCCATAAAGAGCAACAAAGGAGAGAAACAGCCGCTGATCTGGAGAACACATGGACTGGAGCAGCTCTCTGTGCTCTCCACTGGCTTTTTCTTCCCCTTTGCTAGCGCAGCACAATGAAATGTAGCAGCCATGAGCTGCGCTTTGCTCCAAGTCTCATCCGGAAAGCTCTGTGCAGAGACAAGCACTTGTTTCCCTCTGCCGCCCACAGTGCTTAGAGGAAAGCACAGCTCATGGCTGCTAAACCACCTCTGGTGTCCCCCTTCGCTCGTGCAGCACAGCGAAATGTAGCAGCCATGAGCTGCGCCTCTAAGTCAAATCCGGAAAGATATGGCTGGGGAGGGGTGCCTCCATCTGCAGGCTCAGGGCAGGGGGCTCAGCTGCAGCCCAGACGAGCCGAGGAACTGCGGGGAGCCTCCTGTGTGTTGCACCCCCTCCCAGCCTTTGCCTGTGCCTCCGTGCCGCCAGCATCTCCTGAACCCGCCGCTGTTGGAGCCGCAACAGGAACGGGGGCAGCCCGGTAAACTGGGCGTCCCAAAACAGCACGGAAGCGTGGGGCGAAGGCTGGGAGGGAGGTGCAACATGCAGGTAACTCCCCGCAGTTCCTCGGCTCGTCTGGGCTGCAGCTGAATCCGCTGCCCTGAGCTGGTGGAATGGGTTGTAACCACAAGGAAGGCCTGTCAGAGGTGAGAAGGGGTGCTTTTCGGCCAGGAAGGGCAATGGAGGGAAAGCCGAGACGACTACCGCCACCCCACTGCATCCCGACGTGGATATGCGGCCGGAGTGTCAAAAAAAAAAAGTGTCAAAAAGTCCCAGAAATTTTAGCCACCTTTTCGGTGGGTGTGGCTTGGGGGGGGTCATGTGACTGAGTTTAGTTTAATTTTTAGTTTTTAAGTTGATGATCTCACCCAGCGGCTTCACATAAATGTTAAACAGGAGGGGCGAGAGGACTGACCCTTGTGGCACCCTATAAGTGTGGAACCTCGGGGTCGACCTCTGCCCCCCCCTGCGTATGGTCAGAGAGGAAGGAGGAGAACCACCGTAACACGGTGCCCCCCACTCCCACCCCCTCTAGCTGATGCAGCATGATACCATGATCGATGGTATCAAAAGCCGCTGAGAGATCTAGGAGAACCAGGACAAAGGAGCAACCCCTGTCCTGGGCCCTCCAGAGATCATCGACCAATGTGATCAATGCCGTTTCCGTGCTGTAACCCGTTCTGAAGCCCGACTGGCACGGATCTAGATAGGCGGCTTCATCCAGGAACCAAGGAAGCTGTCTCGCTACCATATTCTCGATAACCTTCGCCACGAAGCGGAGGTTGGAGACCGGATGATAATTAGCTAATACAGCCAGGTCCAGGGAAGGCTTCTTGAGGAAGGGCCTCTTTCAGGGCGGATGGGAAGACGCCCTCACTCAACGAAGCGTTGATAATCTCCTGAAACCAGCCTCGTGTAACCTCCCGGGAGGCCAGCACCAACCAGGAGGGACACCGGTCCAATAAACATGTGGTAGCATTAAGCCTCCCCAGAATCCTGTCCACGTCCTCGGGAGTCACAGGATCAAACTCCTCCCAGATAACATTCTCAAGATTCACCTCCATCATCCCGTCCGAGGCTACCCAGTTGGAGTCCAGGCCGCCCCGAATCTGAGCGATTTTATCATGAAGATATTGCACAAAATCCTCAGCTCTACCCTGCAAGGGATCCTCCCTTGCTCCTACCTGCGTGGAGTGTGTGAGTGATGTCATATTGGCCACGCCCAATCAGTCACGCCCCCCACCTAGTCACACCCACAGAACCAGTAGTAAAAAAATTTAGAACCCACCACTGGGAACATGGATGGGTGAATAATGTAGTATCCAGATTTTTTTCACAGATACAGGTAGTCCTCAAGTTACAACCGTAATGGAGCTTTCCCATTGCAGACATAAATTGTAACAGTCACAAAGGAGATCAGACATGACTGAATTTACAACCTTTCTTGCAGCAGTCATTTAAATGAACATTGTGGTCATAAGCAACTGCTGCAGTCATTAAGAGAATGCAATGGTTATTAACCAAACCAATTCTTGCTATGTGGTTGGTTTTGCCAAAAACTGGAAATAATTGTTAGTTTTCAGCAAAATCACTGTAAAATGTTTTCATATGTTCATGGGATGATGCAAAAGGCCATGAATTCATCTGGTTATCAAGCGCCAAAAATACAATCATATGACCCTGGGGCGACTTTCAGAACTTCGAATCTCTGTCAAGTAGTATGCATCAGAACTCCAGTCATAAGTTGAGGAATACCTGTACATGGCTGACCAATCTTTTCTTGGAAATTTCTGGTGATACTCACTAGATCATGAGGCAGGCTTTCACAATGAGGACATTCCCCTTTGTGGGATCTTTTCTCATTAGTTCTTCTCTGCTTCCAGTTAGCCATTTCCCCAGGTTGCTGTAAGGATTCCTGCACTGGAAAAGGGGTTGGACCAGGGGTGAAATGCTCCCGGTTCGGACCGGCTCGGGCGAGTAGGTAGCGATGGCAGCGGGCAGTTTGGAGAACCGGTAGCAAAAATCCCTGCGCGATCATCAGAGCGTTTTTCTTTTAAATGGCTCTGACGATCCAAGCTCTGACGATCCCAGCTGAGTTGCCTGATAACTGGTAGCAAACCCGGGGTGTGTGTGTTTGCTTGCTTACCAGCTTGCTTACCTTAGCTGCTGGTCACAACGCCTTGCTGTAATCCCTGCAATCCATTGCATCAGCAAGCAACTGAATCTCCCTGCCTGCAATCAAGCTCATC